CTAATGTTATTACCTCCACATAATTCAGCTGTTTGAATTCAAAGATTCAGAGACAGGAATTGAAAATACATGTTTTATTAAACCTAAAGTTTTCCTGTCAACTTCAGAAGACTTTTTATATATGCTCATTTTTCTGTTGCTATAGTTACTCCCCTTCTTGTCCTGACAGTTGAGTTGAAAGTCATTGACAGTATTAACCTCTGTAGCAGAGCTCAGGCTATTTTTAGATTTGCCGTACTTCACACATAATTGCATGTGGGTGAGCTACCTGTACTTGTCTGATCTGTGAGCAGCTGGGCCAAGCTGCCAGCTGTTTACAGGGAGTTCATGAGCTGCTCACCTGCTGGGCTCTAATGCCCACACCCACCCACTCCGATCTGAGGTGTTTCCATTCATCTCTTTGGTATTTAGACACTTTGGTTTCCAGCAGCTTGCCTTTTCTTTGCTGGTTCATATGTATAATGGGAGGGTTAAATGCAATGAATTAGGGGAAATTAGATTTCCCATGCTCTTTTTGAGAGTACTGTAATTCATAGGATCCTAGAATATTAAAGATGTAAAAGCCCTAGGAGCCATCTCAGCTGTTCTTTATTTTACAGATGAGGAAAATCAAGGCCCAGGAAGGATGAATGGCACAGCTAGCTAGCAATAAGAGTCCAAACCTGAATACGGTCCTTGGCTTCTCTTACACTGATGCTTGTGCTGAGGCCGCATTTGAATCAGCAGTTGCATTTCAGACGTTATGCTATTATTGCACACATCATAACCGATTTTGCACTTGTCATAATATTTATACAAGAATTAGCTAAAAGAAGAGGCCAGTTTTGAAAATCAGTTTATTTGCCTCTGTAAGAACTTTATAAATCTGATTTTGTGATGTTTATAAAAACAACTTTCAATGGATGTTTTTGGAAATGTTCAATAAGGCAATTAACTAATGACATTTGAAAATGTGAAAAGGAAAATGTGATCACCAGGCAGCTTTCTCTCTGTCAATTACACTGTGATAAAAGCTTTTCATAACTATTTTAAGAATTTTAAATAATGTGTTCAATTATGGGTAGCAGAGTCCTGTATAGAACGAAAAGATACACTTCACCTGAGGATCTTGTTAAAGATGCAGATTGGGATTCAGTAGATCTGATGTGGGGCCCAAAGCTGTACATTTCTAATAGGCTCCCTAGTGATCTGATGTTATTTGGAAAATTATTTGGGCATAATTCAATTAATGTACTCATAACCCTATTACTATAACCCCATACTTGACTCATGTGTGCACCTAAACTGTAGGCAGAGAGCTTACCTCCTCCCCTGGCATTCTAATGTAGCCTGCAATCCTTGGAAATTCAGTTCTTTTTCAGCCTCTCCAAACTTGTTCTATTCCAGTCTTTTTGCCCTGGTTTCGTTATCAGAAGACTTGAAACAATCAGTTTCTTCCTTGTACCAACCCTACCCTATTTTTAAAAAAACAGCAAACTACATACTATCTTATCCCACCCCCGGCCAAGATGCCACCACTCTGATTGCATGGCCCCAGTAAGCCTCCCCATCTTTCATCATTTTGTTTTCCATTTTCTGGTTCTCTCCCACTTTCCCACATGCTTTCCATAGGAGGGACCCAAGTTGAATATCATTAACTCTTTTTTAAAAAAATATAATATCCAAATCCTTTATCTTCATGGAACTTACTCTGAGTTCAAAGTATGCCAGCATTTGAGACTCTCTCTCTCTTTCTCTCTCTCTCTCTCTTTTAATTTCTGGAAGTGGATATTACGAGCTGTATTGAAGAGTGACCCCAGAGGCCCACAGTGGTTGCCTTGGCAACAGCACTCCTACAGTGAGTAGCATTCCCACTGGGGCAATCCTCACTGAGCCTCCAGCCTTTTCAATGTCTTTATACTTCTCATTCAGTCAGGAAGAGACTTCTCTGGTAGGTGGTAATCTTGTTGGATTTAATACATAAATAAAAGTTTGGTCAGTTCTATTATAGTCATATTTGGCAGCTTTGCTGTGGCACTTTCTCCCAAGAGCCTGCTGTAGAAAGCAAAAATATACAAACTTACCAGCCTTCCCGGGTGGGAGGGGGGAGAGGGAGGAGGGAGGGAGGTTTTGGTGATGGGACACAATAACTAACTACATTGTATATTGACAAAATAAAAATAAAAAAAATACATTAAAAAATAATCTTTGCTTTGTTCCTACTATGACACTTGATTCAAACATTAGTGTTCTTTATCCCAGAAATGAAATTCAAATGGGTTTCTTAAAATGTTGGATTTTAATTTTCTTTTTATTCCACACACCATTGGCCAGGTTCTTCTATATGTGTGGGAAATTTGCTTTTTGTCTAGTGGCCAATGAAAACATACCAGCTGTTACAAGTCTGAAGATTTCCCTGTAGCATTATTGTTTGCCAACTGAGGTAGTGATGAGAACAGAGGGCCTGGAAGCTCCCACATACCTGTAACATTTAAAAAATAAATAAGTAAAATAAAAATCATGTCTCTCCTATAGGAAAAATTGGATACCCTCCCACCAGCCATACTGCTGGAGAATCATACATTTTGATTGAATTGCTGCGAAAGCAGGAAGGTAAAGAAGATTCTATGTTTGTTTCTTTCTTGGATATGAAATCATGCGCTCAAGCCTAAAGGAAGTAGGAGAAAATGCTTATATTTTAGTAAAGAAGGCAGCTGTTCAAACTCTACAAGAGCTCTTCAAACTCCAAACACAGCAGCAGCTCTGCAACTTTTAATCAGCTAATTAATTTGATAGATTAGCTGTCTATCAGAAAAACACATGGGAAACTCACTAAATACTGATCCTAAGATTTCAGACAGTCAGGTGGGGGGAGGACTTACTAAATTAAATATGTACATATATTGTTAGACCCACACCAAGTTTAACACAAAAGTAAGTTCAGTACAGACATCAAGGCTAACACAAAAGCAAGAAAAACATACTTAAAGTTCAGTACAAAGTGCAGGCTGACTCTAGAGAGCGAGCAGCCACTGTCTGAAAATAAGTTTGATACAAAGTAAAGTATATACACCTCAACCAGCAAAGCACAGACCACCTCCAGGAAAGTGAGCAACAACCCTGCCTTCACCTGGGATTCGGCTGTTATAGTTTATCTAATGAATATCCAATTAAGGGGGGGCAGCTTGCACTTATGTAACATTTAGTCTTGTACATGCTCAGTCGGTCCCTTCCTGGAGCATGTTAATTGGTCAGACCCTATCACATGCACCAGGCATATTCAAGAATGTTCTGTGCCCTCTATTGAGCATGTCCAGCCACTTGATTTGCATAAGCCAGCCCCTTATGGTCTCATTTTCCCATGTTGGTGCTAAAAACAGGTCTAACTGGCAACAGTAACTTTCCTCCAGGGGAGAGCTCAGAGGAGTGGGCCTGAGACCTCAGGGAGTGGCTGGAAACCCACAGGAATGTCCTGAAGCCTAAGCCCAGGGAAACTGAGCACCTCCTGTATCAGTATCAGTCTTCGCCTTGCCCCTTACTGGAAATACTTTTTGGAAATATTTAGAATAGCAGTGTCTTGAAATGCAGGTTCCAGGAGTGTTTTTCCATGTCTGTTCATTCAGTCTGTCAGTAAATACTTCTTGTGCACCTGTAATACACCAGGCTTTATTCTAAGGGCTGGAAATACAGCCCTGAACAAGACTGTCTTGGAGCTTGTAACCTATTACGGGGAGATGAACAGAGCAAATAAGCCAGCAAGTACATGGAATACTGCCAGACACCAAGTGTTTACAAATACAGTAAAATGGATGCTGTGGTAGAGACTAGAGAGTGATTTGGGGGCCACTTTAGCGGGGGGTGGGGGGGGCAGGCAGGAAGACTTCTGAGGAGACAACACTGGAGCAGAAAGTTAGCAATAAAGAGGAGCCAGTCGGCATGGATTTGGAGACAGAGCCTCCTGGCTAAGGGGGCCAGTGTGCCAGCTCTGCCTCCTCTGTGGGCCGTGGAGCGAGCAAGGAGTGATCTCTCAGCTCTGGTAGCTGCAGGGAGTTAAGCATGAATCCAGGAGGCCACGTAGAGACTGGGACAGTCCTTCTGGGAATGACTAAGAGTATAGCATGCAAGACATAAGTGGGGCATTTTTTAAGGCTACAGAAAATAAGAAAGCAGAAGATGTTAGTGTAGCGTGAAACTACTTATTGCAGTGATTCTCAAATTGGCACACCTATCAGTATCATTTTTAAACTGTGCTTTAATTGCTGCCCCAACACATACACTTCTGCACATCCTCGGGGAGTGGGCTTTCACTCCTCCCAAGCTCTCCCTTGTGCGCATCCCGCAGCATGTGGAGGCGGGGAGGGCTGAGGAGTGTGGCAGGTTTAATTCAGCAGTGGGTAGCTTGGTGTGATGCCGGTCCAGACAGGCAGAGGCTGGCTTGGGGGACCCCTCAGATCAGCTCTGGAGGAAAGACTTCTCACGTGGAGGCTGAGGCTCCCAGCAGACACAAAGAGCTCTCGGGAAGACTCCACAGGCCTCATCATCTGGTGACAACTCTAGTGCCCTGAGTTTGTCCTCTTTTTACTGCTTTTTTTCTTACATTGAAATAGCAACACATTTTATTGTTTTAAGTCCTTAAAGACAGTTTATTAATTTCAGTCACCTGGGAGGAAAGGTCTTTAGCGAGAGAGGCGAGTTAACGCCACTGAACTGTGAGGCCGTGTAGGAATTCCAGGCTGTTGGCTACATTGTACAGCAGCAAGAGGTGCTTAGTCTCTCACTGAAAGTGGAGACACATTGGTCATTCATGTGATGTTGGAAGGAAGGTTGTGTGTACCAGGCTCAGTGCTGCCCTCTGCTCAACGTGACAGCATTCCCATCTGCCATTTGCAGAGCATCCTTGGTGGAACTAGTTACTATGGGATTAGGCAGGAAAATTCCCAAGCTTTTTTGAAGTTATGGTATGGCAACAGGTAAGTTATACTCAGAGCATTGGTTATAAAATGTCATTCTTCTATTTTCAGTAAATATTCAAGATGTGATATTACAAGAAAATTTGGAAAAAGAAGATCAAATTCTGGTTTCCCTGGCAGGATTAAAACAGGTATGTAGATTGCTCTGCCACTATTTCTTTGTGTCTCACAGGCTACCCATTTGGTGCCTGCTTTGGGGAGGGCCACTCTGGGGCATGGAATACCATGATATTAGAGCCGGTGTCCCTGCTGCCCCTCATTTCCTCCCAGATAAAGCCCCTCCTGAATCTCCACCTCCTTATGCCCCCTGCTCCTTCTAGTGATATGTGGGACTACGTTACAGCCCAAATTAGTTTTCCATTTCCCACACTGCACCTTCCTCTTACGAAACCCATTCAGTTTCTTCCTCACCCGAAGCTAGTGTGGTGTGGACAAGCATCATGTTCAGTCATTCATCCAGTGTTCTTGGAGCACAAATCGTGATCACTATCTATAGCATGCCTCAGACCAGGCCACATTTACCCAACCCTTGAAGGTCCAAACGGGACATAAATGTCAATGAAAAAGAGTATGGTGCTCCCAAATGTCTTCCTATGTTATGAACAGCTCCAGCTAGGGTGGAGCCGCTTAGTGGCCAAGGCTGTTCAATGGGGCTGGTTGTGGGTGGAGCCGCTTAGTGGCCAAGGCTGTTCAATGGGGCTGGTTGTGCAAACAGGTGGTGCTTCCTGCTTTAAGGTAACTGCCAAGGTGACACCCAGGTCTGATCCTGGCCAATATAGCAAACAGGTGGTGCTTCCTGCTTTAAGGTAACTGCCAAGGTGACACCCAGGTCTGATCCTGTGAGAACCTGGCCAATATAATGCCTGACATTTTCTTTGGTCATTACTAAGTCAGTGGCTCTGAGAAGGTTGGATTTTTTTCCTGTTATTTCTTTCTTATGGTAAAATATTAATATCTATACCATTAAAAAGTGGCCAATAAAAATCTAGTTTAAATGTATGAGAAATTTAGCTAGCATTTAGAAACAAACTCATTCATCTTTTTCATTTCTTTTCTTCTTCTTTGAAAATAGATCAAAGACATTCTAAAAGGTTCCCTGCGTTTTAACCAGAGCCAGCTGGAGGCTGAGGAGAATGAGCAGATCACCATTGCAGATGACCACTACTGTTCCAGCGGCCAAGGCCAGGGTCAGCACAACCAAATGCCCAGGGCCACCAAGCAGGTACAGGAGCTGCAATGAACGGTGTTACATACCTCAATGGGAGCTCATTCACATAAGTTCTTCAAAGTTAGGAATAATAAAACCCTTCCAAAGTTACTTCACATTATCATGTGTGAAGTTCAGCTGTCAAATACCACAAGTAGCCTGAGCCAGGGGTGCTTTGTACAGCTGTACAGGTTGAACACTCTGCTGCTACTGGGTGCTATTCACACTGATAGTGATGAGACTAGTGCCTCCTAGAGTAGTGCAGTGCATGGGGCAGTGCTGGTCTGTTGCCTCCAGCTGATGCCTGCATTCCTCCTTAGCACAGGAAGTCTATTCAGGCTTTCCCAGGGCTGTCTCAAGTGGATTTCACTTGGCTACAACCTTTCTTGCCTCCATGTGGAAGGACTTCTCATTAATGTCCACCCTCTAAGGCAAGGGTCAGCAAACTTTTTCTGTAAAGGGACACAGAATAAATATTTTAGGACTTGCAGCCCACATATGGTCATCTCTGTCATGTATTCTTTTTTTTTTTTAACAGCCCTTTAAAAATGTATTAACTGTTAGCAGCTTGAGAGCCATACATACAAAACTGGGCCACAGGCCAATTTGGCCATAGTTTGCTGACCCTTGCTCTCAGGTGTTGACATTGTATATAATTTATTCTAACATAGAATCACAGGATTTTTCCAGCTAGAAAGGATTTTAGAGTTTCTTCGTGTGCTTAGTCAGATCTGCTCGTTTTATCAGTGAGAAAATGAAGGCCAGAGGCACAAGGACACACCAGGCAGAGGGCACCCAGCTTTCCGGGCATTATGTTTGCAGACCCCTGCCCCAGCCCCATGAGCTTCAGCTCCACCATATGCCTCACTGCATTATCTGATGAGACTAAAAGATTGTTCATTTCCCTACTATATTTTAAATTCCTAGTAACATTTTGAAAAAATCAGCTTACGAAGTTTCATCCTGAAAAGTGAACATTAGCAAAATCATATCCAAGTCACTTTATCAAAAACTGGCATCCAGATGCTTGTAAATTATTTATTTTTTGTGTGATTTTAAAAAAGCAAAATGACATTTTTTTCAGTTTTAAGGGTACTCTTCGAGAAGAGAGACCTCTGTGGTTAACTTCCTTTTAAGGCTGTATGAAATTTGCATCAAGCACTTTATCAGCGTTTTTAGCCACATGAAGGCAGCATTGACATTGCAAGTTTAATTTGATTAGTTCCTCCAAATTCTCCTTCCCTGCACAGATATTTTCCAATAACCATTTATTTATTCAAATGTAGTTGAACATAGGCCCACCCACCAACCATTTTTAATTGAGTTTTAAATAAAATTTTAGTGTGACTTTTAAGTTCAGTGTGTAAAAATAACCACAGAAAAAGACCTTTCAAAAACACTACTGAATTTACTAAATTTAAAACTTTTGATTATACTTTGCTGGTTTCAATTATACTATCCTGGTTTTTGTATTTGTAAGAACTGACCAGTTAACCCCTGATGTTCCTGTGGACCCCCGTGTGCATAGCCAGGACAAGCTAGCCATGAGATGTATGTGAGATGAAACGTCCTGTGCCCTCGTCCCAGCAGGGCCGCATTCATGTGAGCACCCTAGAGACCCTTCGCCTCTGCACGTGCTCCTGAAACACGCTCAGCCCTTCCGGGTCCTAAAGACGCCACAAGGGAAAATAGAAGGGCGTCTCTTCTCTACCCCTTCCCTGCCATGACCCCTACCCATGGTTGAAAAAGATCTTACTGATGCAGAGAGAAACAGGGAAGCAGTGCTCTCCGCTCTCCCTTCGGGAGGAAGCAAGAGGAATCCTGGATGCCAGCAAACAAGTCAGAAAAGATAAGCCGGGGGTACAGGGCCTTCCGCTGTGCAGCCCAAGGGTCTGGACTAGACTGATGAGGGGCCAAGGGGTCTGCCAAGTAGAAAGCCCTGGCCCACCTTCTTCCTGCAGGAGCCTATGTCCTAAGCCTTGGGACTGTTGTCAGGGCTTGAGGCTGACTGAGTTTTCCTTCTCACTGCTGTGGGAGAAGGGACAGAGGGGACATCAGCTGTGGAGGAGCTGCAGCCAGGAACATGCATCCCAAATGTGCCAACCAGGAGTTCTGAAGGCGTCCAAATGTGTTTTGAGGGCCTGCCGTGTCAGCTACTGGGTGTCCAAGGCTATGGGATGTAGCCCCTGCTCTCATGAGCTTCCAGTTACAGAGGGCCAGGGGCCGGGGAGCGGTGCTAGGCAGGCTCTTGAGACATGTTCCAGAGATGTGATCACCACACACAGGGTCTACGGGGGGTGGTGCCACACTTCACTCCCAGCTGAGTGGGTTGTCCCTTGCCTTCTTGGTTAACCACTAATATATGCCTAAAGGATAGTGCAGACGGGGCAGGCTCCCCTGCCTTGGAGCAGATGGCTCATGGCCCTCCTGCCAGCGCCCTTCCCCGTGAGGAACTGCACAAGGTTCTTCCGATGTGAGAATGCACGTGCCTCACTCCCCACTGTGAGGTTGGGGTGACATGGCTAATACTGTTCAGTTTCATTTACAAATTTTATTTCCAGCTCTGAAAACAGCAGATGAGTGAAATAGTATTCTATGGAGTGAAAAGAGCCACACTGTCCCTTCCCAGAATCTATCCTTCACACACTCCTGTGGGAAGTTTTTGATGAACTAATTCAAATCCCCCACAATAGAAGGCAGGATCTTGTCGGACCTTGGATTCATTAGTCAACCAACCTATCACATGCCTTACTGGTACTTGGTCTCATGTTTTATCTGTATATTATCTAATATTATAGCCTCTAGCCACATGTCTAAATTTAAATTTATTAAAATTCAGTGGAATTAAAAGTTAAAATTTCAGTTCCTCAGTCACACTAGCCACTTTTCAAGCGTTCAGTATCCACATATGGCTAGGGGCTGCTGTTTTGGTCAGCACAGATAGAGAGCATTTCCATCGTCATAGAAAATGTCTGTTGAACAGCTCTGGTCTACGGTTGGGCACACCTGTTCCCACCATAATCCTGAACTCAAGCTATGAAATGCAGTGGGTCAGGTGAGGTGGCAGAAAGGGGAAGGGGGCATATATTGTGGTGGTCCTGGAGAATTTAAGGCAGGACGGACAGGCTGAAAAACTTTTCTAATTGTGTAATACATACCTGTGTTTGGCAAAAAGAGAGGACTTACCTAGGAATTTACGAAACTTCTGTAAATGATATAAATGGCACCAGGTAGTAGTTAATAAGGCTGTTATGGAAATCCATAAAGAAGTCATATTTGTGTCTAGAAAAAAATTCCAGGTGGGAGTCCGGAAGAGGGGGGTCTTTTAATTCACTTTATGAGACTGGCCAGGCCACCAGGCCTCCTATCTGGCCTTCCTTTCTTGACCTGTAGTATACAGGGGTAGGGAGCAGGTGTTAATAAAAGAAGATGATTGCTAAGGCCCTGTCAGCTCTAACTTGCCTTGTCTAAGCCAGTCTATAACCCTTATGTGGGAATTGGGGAGAAGCATGCCAGAGAATTAGCGTAATGGTAGGAAGCATCCTTACTTCTGGTCACAGGCTTTGAAAAGTATTTCTTCTCCGGCCGGCCCGGTGGCGCACTGCTACAGTGCGCCGCTTGGGAGCGCGGTGGCGCTCCCGCCGAGGGTTCGGATCCCACATACAGACCGGTTCCCGCTCACTGGCTGAGCGAGGTGCGGGAGCAATACCGAGGGTTGCGATCCCGTTGCCGGTCCCGGTCCGGTATGGGTGCGACACTGAGGGTTGCGATCCATTGCCGGACACGAAAAAAGACAAAAAGGAAAAAAAAAAAAAGAAAAGTATTTCTTCTCTTCAAAGTCTTGCTGCTGTCCTCACTGTAAGTTAAAGGAGAATAAGTGAAGATGGTGTTTCTGTAGTAGAGGCACCACTCCAAAAATAGGATCCACTCTGTGTGCTCTTTTTCAACCTAAGATAAGCTCTACCAGTAGCATTCAAGCCACAGAGCCCTGTGTTGTGAGAGATCCAGGTTTTCACGGTTTACAATGCAGGGTAGGAGTCAAATCTGAGGCCCCGTGTTGATTTCCCGGCAGCTTTAGGTGCATACACCCTGCTGTGTGGGGGAGGAGAAGCCCCACTCCCCAAAGGCAGCAGGGCTTCTGACGGTGCCTGTGACACAGGGACAGTAATGAAGATGAGGTTCGATTGCTTTCTCTCTGACTCAGAAAAAAGACATTCCTCTACCAAATAGCCCTAGTGCCATTTTCAAGCATGTTCCCTTCTGCCAGAATGCCAGGTGCTGTGTTACTCTTCATTTTTGTAGGAATTAATGTGTTAATACCCCGAGTCCTGTTGTTTCAGCACTGGGATCTTAAAAGAAAATCCTGTTTCTGTTCTCCAATTGAATATCTTAAAAGTTGAGGAATTGTCAAGGGTGGAAGGTTTCTGAGCCATTATGTAGCCATTTGCCCCCAGTGTCACCAAGGAGGGTATGAGATTAGAGAGGGTCCTGTCAGTCAGGGCTCAAGGCCAGATTACCCTCAGCACTGCTGCCGACTCCCTTTCCAGGCTCTGCACACAGCCCACCATGCTTAGGCCATGCCAGTCTGGAGGCCCAAGGGCTCAGGGGGCACCTCCAGCCAAGGGGCTCCATACATCTTGTTAGCTTCCGACCCCTGCACTGGTGCCCATGCATGCTGTGGGGACAGAAGGCAGGCAGGGTTGGGGGGCATGTGTGAGAACTGCCTCTGCACCCATCACCACTGGGAGAGGGGTTCTTACTGCCAGGCTGGTAATGGTCATCCTTGGTCAAACTGTGGCTTTGCTAACCCAAAACCTTTACCTGTCTTCATGGATGTTAACTTCTTTAACTTAAAAAATAAAAAGCCACTCATAATTGCTTAGAGAGAAAGAAAAATAACTGTAGACTGAAGCAATTCTGTCTCTATACTTTTTGCCATTATACTTTGCAATTGCCAGTCTTGATTTCCATCTGAGTAGAGCCTACTGGGAACCATCATTGCCCAGGTGACCCCCATATGCATACCCAAGACGAGCTAGCTATGAGACATATGTGAGACAAAATATGGTAGGCCCTCTGAGAGCCATGCTTCAAGCAAGTAGGAAAATCACTCTGGGTCTGGCAGCTCACCTTAGGGAGCCAGTCTTGTGCAAGTCACATCCGCACATGTCATCTCACTGTGTCATGATGACACATTCGGAGGAAGCCACTGTCCTTATCCCCATCTCACAGATGAGGGAATTGAAGCTCAGGAGGAGCGCCTTGCCTGGCAGAGTCCCACGCGAGGCTGCTGGAGATTCTCTCTGTAGCTTATCAAGCAGGAGGTTTACTTTGTTCCCCGGGGAACCCGGCATTCAGCTCACAGGGGCTCAACCAGCTGCCACTGGCCTTGAGCCCAGCAAGTGCCTGGGCTTCAGGGCAGCAGGACCAAACGCATTTTTTCTGAGGAGGAGCATAGGCGAGGTGGCCCAGATTTCCACAGGGTGTTCCCCAGCTCTTTGCCAGTTTCCTCTTTCATCCACCTGTGCTCCTGACTGTACTTCACAGGCCTCTTCAGAAGCACCGGGCCATGCAGATAGAGGGAGTTCAGACGACTTCATCCTGATTTCCAAAGAAGATGAGGGAGGCAGTGTCAGGGGGCCCTTCCCCAGCCAGGCCCAGCCTCTTCGCACCTTCAGAAGCACATCTGGGAAAGGCCAGGCCCCAGCCTGCTCCCCCCTCGTTTTCTCAGACCCCTTGATGGGCCCCGCCTCGGCATCCTCCAGCAACCCCAGCTCCAGCCCCGATGATGACAGCAGCAAGGACTCTGGCTTCACCATCGTGAGCCCTCTGGACATCTGACCACCGTGCCCCAGTCCTGCCTAATGGGGACCCAGCCACCCCCACCATTGGAGGCCTCTGAAACCAACGCTTCTTTCCCAGCATGCATTTGGCATTGGTATAGTCCTTTGGGGCCCTGACCAACCCTCACTTCACCCTGGTTCTGAGTTAGAGCTGGGTTAAGTACCCAGTGTCACACTTCCTGTGAGAAAAGACCAACCACAATTAGAATCGCTTTTCCTCTGTCCCCTCCTCCCCATCTAAGGTGTGGTAACTGCATCAATTATGTTTAGGAGAAGGAGGAAGAGTTGGTTTCAAATATTGCCTCCCTCAAAGCATCAGGCACAGGAAAATTGTTTGATATCAAGAAAACTTCCTCTGTGGAAATCCGTGCCTCCAGCTACTTCATTCCTACTGTGGGAAGCCAAACAGCAGAGCCAAATGCAACAGAATGAGCTAGAACCAGTAGATTCCAGGAATGCAAAAAAACCCATTACTAACCTCTCAGAGTTACAGTGATCTTAATGACAGGGTCTAAACTGAGGAATCATATCTAGATATGATGTGCTATGGTGTTAGATTTTTTTGATTTGTTAAAGAATACATTTTCAATGCTCAGGCCAGATCGACTTTAGCCATTACTGTCTCTCTTTAAACAACTGTATTTCACCTTTTAGAATCTTTCACAGCCAAAAAGCAAGGTCACTTTAAGCCAGTCTTTGCTGCACTAATTTCAAAAGTCATAAGAATACTACTATCCTTCAAATGGAAAATGTGACTCTGACTTTGTGGGATAAACATCTTTAAGACTGTGGATTTTCTGGTAAAGTTTCTTTAGTTTCAGGGCTATATTTACCTGTCAACTGAGGAGTAAAGGAAAAAACCCAAGCTCATTCCCATGCAGAGTCGGAATCCTGGAGTGGCCTTAAGGTAGCAGTAATAGGGAATTAGAACTGGAGTCCCTCTTATGGGTAGCCGGGTTTCCCAGAGAACATTCCAAATGCCAGGAGGATGCAGGATTTCTACATAGCCCCTTCCCTTGCTGGGAGCCCACGTGTAGGAGCTGCAGGGCCTGTGCTCAGCTGTGAGCTCTGCATCTTGGGAGCACTGTTGCCAGGACCAGGCCTGGCATGCTGGTGCCTTCCTGGGCTTAAACACAGAAGAGAGACTCCTCCCCCTTGTCAGTGGCAGCTTAGGAAACTGACGGGCACAAGGCATCACATGAGCCATTTCTCTCCTTAAAGAAGAAGAGCCCTGGGAAGGACATCTGGCCTCCCCTTTGGCTAAGCAGGTGTTCTAGCAGGAACGGGTGGGGACAGGGGTAGACACAGGGCCCCTTCCCCTTCCTGGCTGGGCATGGCTGGCTCTTTGGGCCTCTGCTCAGAGGATGATGAGGCCTCTGGGCAGTGGAAGCCTTCACAGTAACAAGTGAAAAGCTAAGTGAAGGAACAGACACCATTAACGGCCCTCCCACTGCTGACTGTGTGTTTCTCTATAGACAAATGTGATAGTGACATAATTTCCCACTCACTTGCCACGAAAATGGCGACTCACTAGTCAGCTGCTGCAGAGAGTGTTCTGATGAGCTCTGCCGCAGGGAGATCTCTTAGCACATCAGCGTGCGAAGTGAATGACACCTCTGGTTTTTCCAGATGACAGGACTGTGTGGCCTTGGACAACTGCACATCTGCTCGGCAGGTGCGCTAATCAGCTCTCTGTCTCCTGACTCTGATGGCCCTCTCAGCACCTTTGAATAATTTGCTGCCAAATACATGTCCCCATGATGATGATTTGTAAGATCCAGGGTCCCTATACAGTGAGTGGCCTTGCAACTGTGCCAGGGTTGCCGCTGATTACTTTCTCACAAAGAACTTGGTTTAGGGAGGTGTTGGTACTTCCAGTTCTAAGGTAAGATATGTGAGTCTATCCGCACCAGGGCTCTACAGTCTAGAGAGGACAGAGACTGGAAAGAACCACAGAGCTGGCCATCCCCTGGCAGCAGGCTACCATTGTCTTTTCACCTCTAGCATTTTCTTTGCCCTGAGAGCTACAGTCATAATAGCTGAGTGTCACTGGCCACACAACAGCAACGGGGCATCCACCATGCCAATAAGGCCCTAAGCTGTTTTCCTGCCATTGGCTAGGTGTTTAATGGTCCCTGAAAACTCCCAGCCCTGCCTGCACACCAAGGGGTCCTCTCCATCCTGTGCTTCTGTGTTGGTGCCACATGAGAACCGATGGGTCCATTCAGAGGTGTTGCTTCTGTGGCCCCCCAACAAGCTCCCGCCCTCCTCGGAGGAAGAAACACACGAGGGGAGTGGGGCACGGGTAATACCAGCCTCAAATTCCCATAGGTTCACAGAGAACACTGCATTAGTGTCTTCTCTTCTCTAAGTGACTTTTTTTTATTCTTCATAGTCGAGCATTGTTTGCATTCCTATTAGTTACATACTGTTAAGGAATATGCGCTCCTTTTTATTGTTTTATCAGGTGCTTAGGTTTAATTGCACATTTTTTAAATCCTGGATATATGAAACCTTTTTGTTTTTCTTTAATAAGTGTGGAATCAGTGGAACCCCCCCCCCCATGTTATGATTATTAGCAGTTAAATACATTTTTATATATGTTAAGCTTAGGTTAATTGCCATTGTCATCTACTTTTTTTAATACGTGTCCCTATGTGTTTCATGCTTCCTCTCTGATCACATTGGAAATTTGAGTTAAAACTTACCTCTGTACATTACATGTGAGAGTTACAGACTAGAGAAAGAAAGTCATAATTTCTTTGCTTTACCTTGTATGTATGCCAAGGGGTCACATAACACTTTAAACTTTTAATTATACTGGGTTATTCTTCCAAAGATGACCTCCTGCTAATATTTAGTGGTAACTGCAATCTGGAAAGAATATCACTGCAAAATGAACATGTCTCCAGAAATAAACCAAGACCTCCCTATGATTTGCCTTCTCTGCATGTGACCGAATTGGATCTGGAGCATCAGTCAGTGTCGGGCACCCTGGAGGCAGCTGCCTGGGGAGGTGCGGCTGCCCGCCCTGAGCAGGAGCCTGCCGTGAACAGGGACGCCTCTTCTACTTTGTCAGAGATGCCGAACAAATACCAAACTCTGTGACAGTCATGCTTTCTCCTAATGATAACCTGTCATAGTTGATCCAAACTTACTATTTTTGTTTTCATGTTACTGTTTTTTTAAGAAACTGTCCCCAGGGGTCATTACAGAACAAGAGTGTGTATGGAGGACTTATGTCCCCATGTGCCGAGTGGCCGTCCTGTGGAGCTCACAGCCAGTTCCTTCCCTCCTCCCTGTCACTCGCCTGGCCTGCCGTGTGTCCAGCAGGCACCAAGAGGGCCATGGAGCAGGGAGAGGGGCTGGACGGAGCTGGCCAGCACTTCCTTCTCGCAGGCCACACCGCTTTCTCGGTGTTACTTTCAACAGTTCCCTTGGGATAAGTGTTGCAGTATAAAGTTCATGTAACTGGGCTTGAGACCACTTTGATGTAAAATTGTTACCATAATTTTTCTCATGGTGGCACGATTCCTTTGATTTATAGAATACTCCATTGCGCCATTTATATCCTATCACCTCTTTCTCGTCCTTCTTTATGCTGTAATTCATATTGGCTTAAGAAATGATTTATCCTTTTGGCAGAGTGATCCCATTCATTATGGTTATAATAAACGACTAATGTGAAACAGAATGTAGCTTGACTTGGTCCAGGCCAGGGGTGGGGACACACGTGCTGACCAGCCTGGCCAGGAGGAGCACCACAGGACTTGACCCATGAGCGTGGCCAGTGGGCAAGCGTGGTCATAGGCCTGGATGGTGGACGTGGCCGGGCGTGGACGTGGGAGGGCGTGATCATAGGCCTGGATAGTGGTATAGGCCTGGATGGTGGACGTGGCCGGGCATGGTCATAGGCCCGGACGGTGGTCGTGGCCAGGCATGGGCAGTGGGCCTGCACTCCAGCCAGAGCCTCAGCGCCGCTGCTGACCTCACCACACTGTGGTCAGGTCCCAGGGCTCCCACCCAGCTCTGCCATTCCCTCCCTCTCCAACTTGAGCAAGTTGCTGAACCTCTGGGGCCTTGGTTTCCTTATCTGCAAACTGAGGATAATAGCAGTCACCTACTTCATAGGGTGTGGTGCGGATTAAATAGGATAACATTTAAAGCACAGAGTCTGACATAGGGTGAAATGCAGGGCAGTTTCAAAGGTGACGCTTAATTCCAGAAGAGTCCCTGGAGATCACAGAGTCCTACTCCTTCCATGGACAGCCAAGAACCCCAGAGGCCTGAAGGGTCCTGCACTGAGGCAACCCTCCCTGGCCTGCTGGTCCACGAGGCCATTTGGGGGTGGCCCCAACAGCTTGCCACCCCTTGTCCCACTTTCTCCACCTAGCACC